ATTTAATATCGCAAGTTCAATTCAGTGCATCTTTGAAGATTAATAAACATAATTTACTTCTTCATTAAATTTGAATTATTTGTTAACATTTAAAAAAAAAACATGTTTTAATGTTGTTAAACATTAATTTTTTTTAATGCTAATACTTACTTCAAACTTAGAAAAGATACTTTTTGATATGTAATAAAGAACATTTATTCATTTCATGATACATGGCAACAGAACATTAAGCAAGGAATAACAAATCACAACAATTAATGACATGTATAATTGCAGCATTTATTATATGACAACAACAAGGTAGAAGACATCCAGGAAAGGCGTCACTGCTGACGTTACAGTTGTACTTTCCATGTGTAGGTGCCCACCAGATATCGACGAAATTATTTCTCGTCGATCGGAATTTTTTATTATTTATTATTTTCTATTTTTATAATGTGTAAATGATGTATTCTCCCTTATAAAAAAAGGGAGTAGTGCAAATGGATATCAATGAGCACAGTTTGAAGGAATCATGATATACAGAGAAAACAATGGGATATCACAGCCAATATTAGTAATAATTGGTGCAGTTTTCTGGTAAATATTCATCCAGTTTCTATAATTATTTTAAAAATCTTTTAAATATAAAATATTAAATTAAATATTAATAAATGATATATATATATTTTTTTATAGATACCTTGATTAAATCCCTGTTGGGCATATTGGGTGATGGTAAGAAAAAATAGTCTTTAGATATTTATATATATATAAAATAAATTAGGTAAACCTATAGGATATCTATTTTTAAGATTCTAAAACACGAAATTGAACTATTTTTCAGTTAATTTTTAACAAATTATACTGATATTTTTTCAAGATTTTTCAATAGAACAAATTTTAATAAGTGGTATATTCTGTGGTACGATCGGAACTTCACATATATAACTTGAATACATTATACTTTTTTTTCCTAAATTTTATTACAATTTTCTTAAAATAGAAATACTAACGAAATGTAAATATAGAAGAGACACATTGAAGAAAGGCCAGAAAATAGTCCTGAGTTGATTTTACACATTCGAAACTGTAAGATGAGTTCCTAAAAGAGACACTTTTTCGGGTACATTCTCCTGGATACAAACATTGGCACAAGATGCTGACAAGTTTTTCTTTTCATTCTGAAGATTCGACGATTGAATATGAGTCGAAAATGATGGTAGTTGTTGGAAACTGGAACTGAGACGATGTCTGCTCGATTTAACAGAACAATCAATATGATTTCCACAAGTGCTTGTATACGTCAATTCGGGTATATTACTGTTTTTTTCAGAAAAGCAGCACGATCCAAAAGTATCTTTGAAGGCTTGGCGGAATTTCAGTGACAGCAATTGATATAGAATAGGATTGATGGTAGAACTCAGATAATAGGTCACACCAGAAATATATGTGAGGATGGTGTATGTTGTCACTGCAAGTGGAGTTGGATTTGTGACATAAATTGCCAGAAGACGTTGGGCATGAAATGGTGACCAACAGATGAAAAAAGAAATTACTACAGCAACTGAAAGAAATAATATAAAAAAAAAGAAATTGCATTTTATTATGAAATACACGAATTATTAATTACTTTAAATGTTATTTTATGCTTATATATAAATTAATAGAAATACAAATTATGAAAATTTTATCATAGTTTTCATTAAATTATTTTATTAAAAAATTAAAATAACAANGGTAAGAAAAAATAGTCTTTAGATATTTATATATATATAAAATAAATTAGGTAAACCTATAGGATATCTATTTTTAAGATTCTAAAACACGAAATTGAACTATTTTTCAGTTAATTTTTAACAAATTATACTGATATTTTTTCAAGATTTTTCAATAGAACAAATTTTAATAAGTGGTATATTCTGTGGTACGATCGGAACTTCACATATATAACTTGAATACATTATACTTTTTTTTTCCTAAATTTTATTACAATTTTCTTAAAATAGAAATACTAACGAAATGTAAATATAGAAGAGACACATTGAAGAAAGGCCAGAAAATAGTCCTGAGTTGATTTTACACATTCGAAACTGTAAGATGAGTTCCTAAAAGAGACACTTTTTCGGGTACATTCTCCTGGATACAAACATTGGCACAAGATGCTGACAAGTTTTTCTTTTCATTCTGAAGATTCGACGATTGAATATGAGTCGAAAATGATGGTAGTTGTTGGAAACTGGAACTGAGACGATGTCTGCTCGATTTAACAGAACAATCAATATGATTTCCACAAGTGCTTGTATACGTCAATTCGGGTATATTACTGTTTTTTTCAGAAAAGCAGCACGATCCAAAAGTATCTTTGAAGGCTTGGCGGAATTTCAGTGACAGCAATTGATATAGAATAGGATTGATGGTAGAACTCAGATAATAGGTCACACCAGAAATATATGTGAGGATGGTGTATGTTGTCACTGCAAGTGGAGTTGGATTTGTGACATAAATTGCCAGAAGACGTTGGGCATGAAATGGTGACCAACAGATGAAAAAAGAAATTACTACAGCAACTGAAAGAAATAATATAAAAAAAAGAAATTGCATTTTATTATGAAATACACGAATTATTAATTACTTTAAATGTTATTTTATGCTTATATATAAATTAATAGAAATACAAATTATGAAAATTTTATCATAGTTTTCATTAAATTATTTTATTAAAAAATTAAAATAACAATTTAAAAAAAAATTATATTCTTTTATTTTTAGAAATTGTTATTTTTTATTTTTAGAAAAAAAATAAGTAAAAACAAATTTGAAAATGTTTAGGAAAGCAAATTACATATATGAACAAATTCAAAAATTTTATTAATATCTATTTAAAAATTCCTAAAATAATGTTTATAAAATTATTTAAATGCTCCTCTTAAAAATATAAAAAAACAATTTACGAAAATGTATTTAATAAACATCTTGTTCTATTCAAAATTTCAATAAAAAATTATTGTCATTTATTATAAATTTTACTTCCATTTAATTCTATTTTTTTTTCGTTCCAAAAATATTTATTTCATTTTTTCTTTTCTTCTATAACGGAGATAACAGACAAAATATATATCTAAATAGTGTTTGTTATTAGAGATAACCTGTGCATTATATTCTTCTTAAAATACATTCACTTACATAAAGTTTTATTTATCTCTCTTAGATACAAGTTATTTTAGTAAAGAAAACATTTTATTTTGAAAGGCACGTCTTAAATGATTTTTCTTTATAACTTACAAAAGAAAAATGATAATATTTCTAAGTGAAATAAATCCATAAAAAAGTAAAATGTAAATAATTTATTACTTTCTATCAATACTTCGCTTATTTTAATGTTTTTAAAACGTCTAAAATATTGATAAAATAATAAATTTTAAAGCCAATTTTCATCATTTATATAAATTTTTTAAAGTATTAAAAGTACATTTTAAGAAAGTCTTCTTTTTGTACTTAAATATTTTAAAATTATATTAATTATAAAGAAAAAAATATAGAATGTTATATGTATTTTTTTTCATATTTTTATAAGAAAGATACATAGAAAAGCCATGTACTGTATCACTAAAATAGAGAATTCTTCAGAGAATTTCGCAGCTGGCAGTTGAATGATATTGCAAATTGTTCAGTATCATTCAAAGCAAAAGATTTGGGAAATAGAAACATCAAAAGATTGAAAGAATTACGAAATTTTATTACATAAAAATTCAAGAAGAATTGTTTTCTATTATTACTACTTAAGATATAATGTTTTTTCTTTCGAATTATCTGTCAAAATTAATATATTTTAATTTTGTCAACATTTTAATAAAATTGCTTTATTAAGTTTATAAATTGTAAAAAATACTAAAATACTGATTTAATTAAAACTCATGAGTAGAGAGATATTTTAAACTGATTTTTTAATAAAATTAATTATCTCTGTTAAGAGATTAGTAGATAAAAACTTTAAGCTTCATGCTAAAACTTAAAAATGAGCAGAATTATATTTTGTAAGTTCATAAAAACGTATTTTATAAGCTTAAAACTAAGTAGAATTATTTTAAAAACATTCTTATTTAACCGTACAATTGTTTAAGATACGTAAAAAATGTACTGTAAATATCGAAAATATTCAAGAAAGTTACTATATTTATATTTTCGTACCATTTTTTTAAAGTCAATATTATTTTTTTATGTTTCATACGTTTATAAATCACGTATTATAACTATTTATTTATTCAATTTTTTTATTTAATTTAAAATATATGCTCTCCATCTCAAATTATTAGTCTTGCCCCTGTACATCATACTATTCCTGATAACAACAGAGTCGTGACAGTCATCTATGTAACTCCATTCAGGGAAAAATTTTTGAATTGAAATCACGTGACTTCCGGCCAAAAGCGGAAATTCGAATATAGTTAATCGGGGACTTTTAATAATATAATATAAATCTGTAGACATTTCAAATTTTTTGAAAAAGTTTCTTGAATTCTAATACAACTGTAATTATTTTTCTATGAAATACACGTTTAGCAAATAAATCATTCACTTGTTTATTTAAAAAATAAACAGCAATTTTATAAATCGATGTTTTTAAAATAAACACCCAATTTATAAAATTGTTGTTTATTTAAACACTAATATATTTATTTATTGGAAACAGTT